TCGGTCCGCGGCAGTGACTGCGCGGAGGGGTGAGGCGCTTCCCGAGTGGGCCCTCGGCAAAATCACCCCCCGGGCCGGGGCCGGGGCCGGGGCCGGGATCGGGATGAAACCACGGGCTTCTCCACCGGGCGGCAGCGGGGCCGGGCACGAGTTTCGGTCAGCCCAGATAAAGCCTTTCACCGCGGCTGAGCGGAGAGACCCGGCAGCGGCCAGGCAAAATGCTCCCGTCGGACAGGGGGCAAACGTTAGCAGGCGATTCGCGCCTCCTGCTCTGAAATATAATTGCAGTGAACGTGCTTTTTCGCAAATGCCGAGAAAAAAAAAAAGCTCCTCGCCCGATCGTCTGATTCCCTCGCAAGTCACCGCAACTTGACTCGCCCCGTGCCGTGGCTTTGCAGCCAGTGTCTGCTCTCTCTTCTAGCACGTATAGGAAGATTTTTTCTTTCCCGAAAGTTAAAAGCAGTTACACAGAATTTGGATCCAGATGTCACTAATTTGCAATTGCTCTGGGACGCAAGCTGATATAGGGTGCTCGGGAAGGGGCCAGCCCTGCCTCTGCCCAGCGCTCTGGGAAGTGAACTAGCGTTACATGCAAGCTGCAGTCTGGCTAAAGGCAGCCTAAAGTGAAAGCGCCTGCGGAGGGGCTGGCGTGTAGATTCTGTACTCACATTTTAGGGTGCTAAGAAGAGACTTTCTCAGATCTAAGTCCATGCAACAGGTTTTGACATCTCCTTTCCGGCTAGGGCGAACAGCTGCTCCCGTTCAGATTCAACCGCTGTGGTTTATGAGATGGAAGGAGAGAAAGCGGAGTCAGGTATATCCCTAATAAACGTGGGGCGACCGAGCGCGGTAGCGGGGAGGCGGGGGGAGCAGCTCAGACCTCGCTAGCGCTTTTCTCTATTGCCACGGTCCCCATGGCGGGAGGGAGCGGAACGGGGCTATATTCTCCTTCGCGAAAGGCACACGGTGTGTGCTCAGAGGTCGGGGGTGGGAGAGGGGATTTGTGCTTCTCTCGCCGTTTCTGCTCAGAGTAACGTTTGCAGTGGATCCGTTCTCCCGTCCCGTGATCGTCCGCTACAGCTGCGGCTGCGAACTATCCAGCCGCTTAGGTCGGGTAGGAAGCGCTGAGATCGGGATGCTTTCGTTTACAAACAAGCACAGTCTGAATCCTGCAGAAGTCGGCCGGTATCAAGGCACTAAGCGGCCGAGGGCTCATTTTGTAAAGGGATGTGGGGAGAATCATGCAAGGGGGCTTTATGGACCTGTCACCAACATCCCTGAATTTGTTTTAAACGAATTTGAGCTGTCTCTCGCTTGCCCTGCGAAGGAAGCCTCTGTTTTGCGTCCCCGGGGAATCCAAGGCGGGAGCCGCCCGCTTGCCACTGCTTCTTTATGGCAGCGCTCGGGAAAAGCCCGGACAGGTAGGAGGACATGCAGCTTCCAAAGCGAGTGCACTGGAGAAAATACGGACATACGCGGCGGATACGCACAGGCGTCCGGACATGCTGGGAGCTGGACGCGGTCTGAGCCGCTGCCCCCACCTTCCTCCTCCTCCTGCCTCCTTCCCCCGCCGCCTTTCGCCTGGCCGCAGCCCTGGCGCGGCTCTCCGCCGGGAGTCGCCGCCGCCGGGAGCCGCCGGGCTGC